ACTAATAGTTCATTTCTCATGGGATGTCACATACAATCAAGGTGTCCTACTTAGAAGCTTATTTGGAAAATTTGGTAATTTGTGTATCAACCTTTTTTTTTGTTTCTATCTCTCCTATGTTCTTTCAAAATTCAGAAAAAGGGCCATATTCTTTCAAAGTTCAAAAAAACAAAAGGCCATATAGGATATTACTATAATTTGTCATGGTTCTTAGTTAATCGACACATTCGAAAAATATATCAGATAAAATTTTAAACCCTTAATTCTTGATAAATGATTCTAACATACTATCATCAAACCAATACTTTTAGTGTATACAATTGCATTTGATCCATTTTATCGACCAATTAGATCCTAAGGTGCAAATAATATCCATCGTTACCGCACCTTTTAAATTTTTTGATAAAACTAAAAATCTTATTTTTATCATATGTCACCACTAAAATAAAAGACATGTTCGATGGACTGATGCGCATTTACGAAGATGATGTAGGTTCTTTCGGGACATACTTGGTATTTTTTATCCTTTTCAGAATTTCTTTATATTATTGGAGTCGTATCTTTTGATATGATTGGTCTATTAATTTGCTATGCTCTTGCAAGTTTATCATGCAATAATACGATTAAAACTAACTTCAATTATTGGTGGCATTATATTTCTAAGGAAAAGGAAAGATGAGAAGAAGGAAAAAAGAAGCAAAAGTGTGTATTAGCTATGATTGTTATTATTGGTGAAAGTATTGGTAATAGAAGAAGAATGGAAAGGAGACATGAGGAATCTCTTAGTGGGCTCCAACAATTTTGGAAGCACATGCCCTCTTGCTTTTTGATTGCTCATCGCATCCATCCAACAATCCATGACACCAAATCTCCAACTTGCGATAATTGATCGTTCGTTCGTGTGATAATGGATGGAGCCGATGGATTTCATCGGTTTGTCATGTCGTGATCATATTTCTAGTTGTCTATGGGACAACATCGAGAGAATCTTGTGATGTCTGTGAGTTCGATGAAGGTTGAGTTTGATTGGGTTAGGAGTCTCTTCGAGGGTTTCTTGTGGAGGATTTGATATCCTCTTGAGCAACCTATGTCGATGTGGGTATGCATCAGTATTTGATTGGTGTCGAATATTCTTTCCCCATCAATTGATATTTATCTTCGAACATCAATCACCCTCTTTATACATAAATGCAAGAATTCTCATAATTTCCAAAGGAAAGTTGAAGATGTTTATTTAAATTCTAGATCGCATGATTGATGCAACGATTCACGATCGTATGGGTCCGCATTATCTCGAGATCGATTTCATCTTAATTTCCTTATGATAATAGTCTATTTACTATGAGACTTCTTTTGAACTCTATCAGATGTGAGTAATCCATCTATTTCATTGCACCTTCATGAGTCTTACAATTGGATTAGTGTGAGGGTTTATTGGTACAGATTTATGGGTTTTATGGGGTGCTCATAACGATGCTATTTTTAATAATTTAATGCCTTCTAATTTTTATTTATTTATTTTTAATTGTCTCATACATTCATTCATGCTAGAATGAAGTCAATAGAATCTACAGGAAATGTTATTTATTATCCTTGGCTTGTTAAATGAGAAAATTCAACTCTTTGCTGGATCAAATTAAATTCTGATGGTTCTTGGAATCATGATTGTGATAGTGATATCAGCTTCGTTGCTAGACACGATAATGCTTCTGTTATTTTTTAAGGTTGTAGGTAGGTATCTTCGGAAGTGCGACAATAATTATTGCGAGACGAAAACTAGCTTGTAAGGATTACGCTTGACTTATGAGGATGAGCTTCGTTGAGTTAACATCGAGATAGAATCTATGACGATGGTGGATATCATAAGCAAATAGTATCTTGCTCTATGGTAAATTTTGAATATTGTCAGGCGTATTTTATATCTAATATTTATTATGGATGATCATAAGATCTCATATATGTTTGAGTCTTTAGAAGAATTTTTATCCTTCAAATTTAGATTTTTGATATACTCTGAGACGGATAGAATTGTTTCCTATCGGATTTCGATAAAAAAAAAAAAGTATGACATGAGAACATTTTTCCAAAGTTTGTATGTCATTTTTCTCTCTCTAACAAAGAGATATAATATTATTTATGAGAAAAAAAAAAGAAAAGAAAAGAAAAGAAAGGTTGGTACGAGGAAGCATCAAAATGAGTCTCATCAATCCATCACTTTCCGGGCCTCAAAAAGAAGGAAGCAGTAAGAAAAGTATGATACGAGTATAAGAAATGGCACACAAGTGGCCAAAGCAGGAATCCATATTGTGATCCGAGAGCCCCGCACTCAGAATCTTTTTG